CCATTTTACTAAAATTCATGTGTCAGATAAATAAAGCAGTATCTGGATGGAATTAAGAGRTGCTTGAGCAGTGATGATGAATCTCTCCTCAAACATTCAAATCAATAATGAAGATTTATTTACATTTTTAATGACCTCCCAACATTAAAAAAGGTGATTAAAATCAGAATTATTATTTTTATTGCTTGTGTTTTTGTAGGATATACCCACCGAGTGCACATCCCAACTCTGCAGCAAACACTCGCACGGTGTCCTCAGAGAACTGACCGATCATCTGCCAGTAGGTGTACAGGTCTCCTGTGCTGCAGTAGTCACACACTGTTGGAGCAGAAGGACGATTAAAGATGTCAGTGTTCGATGCCAGGGGGGAGTGAAGGGCAGCGGGGGTGAGGAGGTGGAAGAAACAGAATGAAAGCATTTTGACAGGGCAAATTTTATTAAAGAAAAATATTTTTATTTCAAATATTTTATGTCAAAAGACTAAAGTTATTAAAAAAGAAYAAGACAAATACACACTCAGCAGCACTTTATGAAATTGTTTCCTTCATTTAGACAAAATATTGTATTTCAGTTGCTGTGATGCTGCTGAAATCTATGGGTCTTAAAATTTCATCTTGCAGACTAGCAGCATTTTTTCCTACTTCATTCTTTTATTGTCTAAATGTTCATTTATTGTTTTACTTCTTTAAAATAATGTTATCTAGACTTCTTTGCAATATAACGACTTTCGTAATTTTAGCCATATCAGCTCAAGATGCAATGACTTCAGGTTTTCATAACTTTTGTACTTTTTCAAAATATTCAACACTACTTATGAATATTTTCTCCATTGAAATACACTGAGATCACATCCTCAAAAACATTAATGTCTTTGACATCTACTGCAGCACAGTTGCTGTTTTAAAATCTTCTTAGGCTACATTAGGTTTTAGACTTTTGTTACTTTTAATTAACTTTCTATTTTCAGTCCTWAGCCAGCTTTTTGCTCCTTTTAGTTTTGAGCTGGACTTRGGCTATTTTCGCAACCTTTAGCTTTTAGTTAGCTTTATGTTACTTGTAACTTTTAGCTAATTTTAGCTGCTTTGTCATAATTTGAGCTGCCTTTTGTTACTTATAGTTTTTAGCTAACCTGTTTCTATTTTTTAGCTTTTTAGGTTATTTTTAGGTTTTAGCTCATGTTTGGTTTATTTCTAGCTTCTTTAACACATTTCCTCAGCATTCACACTGCATTTTCTGAAAAAAAAAATCTTTTTTTGTAGTTATCTTTTGTAATTTTCAGAATAAAATGTGATTCAGTGATGATTCACAGTTCAAGCGTGCAGTGTTGTCTTTTTTGTTGACTGTGACACATTCTCACTGCAGGAGTGGTCAGTGTCTCTCTGGGCTAACACTCACATCAGGGGCTGGGGAAGCAAACAAGTGGGTCATAATTTTTGAGTCAGTGGGTAATTGGGGAAAATGAGGGTAAATGCTCTGGAGGGAAAGGAAAGAGACCACAACTGCTTGATGCACAGGAACTGGTAGAATCAGGGTTGTTGGTTTGTTTAAAGTGTGCAAGCAAAAACACACAAAACTCAAACACACTTTGTCTCTATCATTATGCTCTAGGTGGGAAGGGGATTGTGAGTAAATCCTTGACAGAGACTAGAGATGAGGACAAAAGGTGAAGTGAAGGGGTTTTGGATCGTGGATCTGGGTTTAAGTGGGTCACACTGGCTGACTCACTAATGTAAAGGTGGCGCTGAGTCTGCCAGCAGTCCTGAAGGTCCAGGACAAATGGATGGCGAACCTGACGCTGTGGGCAAAGGTCAAAGGTTGTAAACTTGGAAAACCTTGATCCTGAGCATCTTTTGTCAGTTTTTGATAACTTCCTAACATGTAGAAACACTTAAGTTATAGTGAAATTAAAGCACGTCAAACATTTTAGCTACCAACTCAAAAAAATAAAAGCTGCAGAGGTTTGTTAATAGATGAAATACACAAAGATCACTAAACCAGTTTTATAAGAACATAAAGACAATAAAACAAATACTTTTTTATATTTTAATTAATTTATAGTTATATCATCTGCATACAAAACAACATCGTCATTTTCATTTTTTAATTTTCATAGTTTTAAATTTAGAGTTTATATAAAATTGTGAGATAATAAAACAAAAGAGAATGTTTTTCCAATTAAGCAAAAATAAAATTTGATTTTAAAGACCCTCGAAGTGGATAAAAACACAATAAAATGCTATTATTTACTGATTTACACTGAAATGTCAGGCAGTGCCCACCTGGACGATAACTTCTTCCTTTGACTGCTCCAAGACTCCAAGTCGTAGAATTTCGGATTTTGGGATAACCTGTTGAGAATTAATGCAAAAATGAAATAAAAATTTTAGACCTCATCAATTTTTGACAAATACTTTTTCATGCATTTTTAATTCCTGGGTGTGTACACGCCAGACTTACTTTAACAGCATATGTTTTCTGTTTGCTCTTGTCCTTCACTTTTAGAATGGGTCCAAATGAACCTTTGGCGATGTAACCCAACACCTAGAGAGGAATATTGTAAAGAGTCATTAAGACAGAGAGGAAACATCATAATGTTGGWGCTTGTTTTGGGACTGGTTTCCACCTGAAAGTGTTCGTGCCCAGGCACGGGTCTGTGGGGGAATTCGGGGAGAAACATGGAAACAAACCCGGGAAAGCTCCACTCGGCCCTCAGCATGCCCAGACCGACCCCCGCCAACCGCAGGACGTGCTCCGGAACCTCGGGGGCTTTGCTTCGGAGCATTCGACGCTGGCCCAGACCCAGCGCGGGTGGAGCCAGGCGACAGATGCCTGCTGGGATGGAAAGGCTCACGGTGGAGAGGAAGCCACGCCAACCAGAGATGTGCTCATCTTCTCCCACTTCAGAGGCTCTCTGAAGGGCACAGGGTTCAGAGAGAGGCACATAAGGCACAGCTTGGTTAATGATACTGCAGGTAAAATAAGTTCTTGTTCAAGCATAAAAAAATTACCTACAAAGTTAACTGTTTTATATCTGCTCAGAGTGTCTATATATATAAAAAAGGGAAAACATTGAATTTAGAAGGATTTAGCAAATGTTGGAGCTCCAGCCTGGTGAAACTCTATTTTTAACTGTGGGTACAGATCCACCCTCATTAGCCTGAACTCTTGTGTTTTGACCACAAAAGGATAAACCAAAGCCTGGTGAGGATTGTCTTTAGGTTAGAATCGCTCATTCAGTTCATTATACCGCCTAAAAGAACTATGTGATGTGCTTTGGATTATGAACCAGTTCTTATTTTTTGTTACTTCAGTGAGATACTGTTCGAGTGGATTTTTGTTTCCAATTCATAATATGCCGATCATTTCTAGTTTGGCTACGGTTTACCAAAGTATATAATTGAGCTGCTTTTGAATTATTTGCATTTAAATCCAGGACTTTGTTTGTGGTGAATGAGGCTTTCCTTAACTCTAACCCAAAATGAATAGGCAACGTTTACTTTCACCAAACTTGTCTCTCAGGCCTGTAAAACATATTAATTTTTACAGTATTTAACCGGGCAAATTGCATTGAGTGCACATATCTCTTTTGCAAGAGAGGCCAGGGCCTGAAGGCAACCTAACCTGCATGTTTTTGGTCTGTGGAAGGAAACCGGAGAGCCCAGAGAAAACCCAGAAGCATAGAGCTGCCACATGACATGAAATTATTTTTAAACTGGATCTCGTTATAACGAGAAAACTATCTCGTTATAACAAGATACTTTTCTCGTTTTTATGAGATAGTTTTCTTGTTATAACGAGATAGTTTTCTTGTTATAACAAGATAGTTTTCTTGTTATAACAAGATAGTTTTCTTGTTATAACGAGATAGTTTTCTTGTTATAACAAGATAGTTTTCTCGTTATAACGTGATCCAGTTTAAAAACAATTTCATGTCATGTGGCAGCTCTATGCTTCCGTAAGAACCTGTAACCTGTTTGCAGAAAGACCCCAGGTCCAAACCAAGGATCGAACCCAGGTCCTTCTTGTGCTACATCAGTGCTGGCCACTGATCCATCGTGCTGCCTGGAATGGTTTTCTCTGAAATTGTCACACCCAAGCTTATATAAACTTCTCTTCAAAACTGGAATGTCATCTAGTCAAATCATCTACAGAAAACAGTAGAAATGGTACAATTGTCTTTGTCTGACCATCAGAATCTCTTGCTGTTCATAACTTAGGAATTGTTAAACTACAACTTACAATTTTGGTTTTGTGACTATTTATGTCTTACATTTTTAGTCTGCTTCTCGCCGTCAGATTGACACATGATGTCCAAGTTGCAGCAGATTTCTTTTTGGTTCCCTTTATATTTCTTATGCAAATCATGCAACAAAATGTTGCAATTTATGCCTCATTTTATATTATTAAGATGTTTATACTTCAATTATAAGCAGTAGATATAGGCTACACTAGTGCCTATACACACACACACACACAAATAATTTTTTTTTCTAGTTCATGTGTTGTTCAGTGCATCAGTATAGTTTATTCCTGCCCTCATTAGGGTTACAGCGACAGAAAAAAAAAATCCATATTGCATCTCTTTCCAGCAGTCATTCCATCACACATCACTGCTGCTGCCCTTTGGGCCTCATGATGAKCCACAGATCTCAGGCTGAGTGCACTCAACCATGCAGAATGTCATTTTCATCATTTGAGCTAAATAAGGAGACGCTTTTATAGTTATTCTGAATTTACAGCCACCAAATGAAGAGCTTCAACATTTGACTGGGGAGTAATGCAACCAAAATGTGGTTCTATTGTGTTTATTAATACACCGGAAACCGGAGTTATACCTCCAAAATAAAAGCACACAAATTAAGACATATGTTTAGTGTGAGCAAATGGTTAGTGTATGGTCATTAATGACTCGTTGATTATTTTGAAAGTGTCACTTTTCGAATAAATGTGAAATCTGGCTTTAAATCCAAATCAAAGAGATGTTCGGATATAATATCGCCATGGTCGGGGAACACCTTTGCGACCAGGAATTTCAACTCACCTTCCTGCTTTTACTTCCGTCGGCCCCCATATTTATGACCGTGGCGGGACATGAGCGATGCAACCTCGGGTGCGACGTCCGCTCCTCAGGCGCTCACCCCGCGGTGCAGGACTCCCCCCCGCCCCATCATCCACAGCCTCCCGCACGGCCACGTCGTCCACCACTGAAGGCTTGGTAAAAATGCTCACAAGCTAKTCCTCACAGGCTTCAGAAATCAGATGCAAAATGTGATGAATATGGCGACATAACATAAACAAGTTAATCCCGAGAACGTCAACTCAAATCCGCCGCATCTTTGCCACCAAATGAGTTCAGCTCCCTCTGCTGCTCAGTGTAGTTAGCGCCGACACTATATTTTACTGCATTTGCAGAAAACTTCATGTGCACGAAAAATAAAAGCCTTATGAAAGGCTTTTTTGTAGATGACCACATGTATATTCAATTTTCTGTAAATAAACCAGTGCAGCTATAAKAATTGCCATTGCAACGTGCAAACAGCATATAGTGTAAAAGCTTTTGGAAATGTACTGACCAAACTTTATGTGACTGAGGTGAAGGTATTGAAGATTTTTTTATTATTATATTATCAGAGAGCAGGATTAGAAATAAATACAGTTCATGTTGACCAGTTTGGAGATGAGCGTGAGGCTGAGATGATTATGACTTGGGCAGATGAGGGAAAGTAGATATAGAGATAAAAAAAATAAAAGATACAGTAAATCAGAGCACAAGCTGATAGCACACATGCCTTTTATTTGGGAACTAACGATAAGCAAACAGAGCCATCTGCACTTTTTAAACTTTCAAATARGGTGTTCACCAATAGTTGTCTATAACATAAACCAAACAGTTGAACTTTAAATAAACAAGTAGAAAAGGTTTGTGAATTATCGTGGGAAGCATCAAGTTCAGTCATCGTCGTCAAAGTTCTTGCTGCCCTGTGGAGGTTTGGGTCCACCTGAAGGTTTGGCCATWATGATCTGAGGGGGAAAAATAAACAAAATGTTTTTTTTTAATAAGAAATTAGATCCAAACAAACATTTGAGCTTAATTATAAAATGGGGTTTATTACAAAGTGGGTAAAGRGTTTTCAATCTGTCCATTTTTGCAACAACATTCATGCTCAAGAGCACACAACTATGCTGTAAAAAAGTTTGACTATATTAGTGCAACACACAAGACTTCAGGAACTGTACATCTTTCAAAATGTTTTTAAATCAAAATTATAGAAAGTCCAGCTCTATAAATACTTAGTGTCATTTGATTTAATTTACAGGGAAGCTGTAAATGACATTTTATCCTGCAGTCAAAAGTGATGTAAGAAGTTACGTGCATGCAGCATGCCATCACACCATCAACCGCTTCGTGCCGGTTCACACAGTGGCACTCCGTGATGTTAGGAGTTGTCTCAGGAATAAATGTCTCCACCTGGGATTCAGTGTTAGTTCTGTTTCCTGTCAGCCAGTGATTTTATCTTTATTTTTAGTTCGAAGTGGACACACATCATTCCGGCACCTACTGACAGAGGGTTTGAGTGTGTGTGTGGGAAGCTGAAGGTGCAGAAGAGCCGCGTCTGGCTGCCGGACAGCGCGAGGGGCCGACAGAGCTGTCCGGGGTGCTGAAGGTGCTGAAGATTCGCGTCTGGCCGCTGGACGACNCATTATATCCAGGTTACGTTTTGGTCATACAGGCTTAAACAGTACATTATTTAAAATGGGGAGACATCCATCAGGAAATTGTGAATTTTGTTTTCAAGAAGAGACAGTAGAACATGTTTTGTTGTTATGTCCAAAGTACTCTGAGGAGAGAAGGAAATTAGAATACCGACTTCTAAAAAATAAGTTACAGTTAAAAATACCAGATATTTTGAGATATTGCTCTTCTTCTGAATATTTACGTTAATAAGCTTTCTTAAGAAAACTAAACTGATAGAAAGGATTTAGCTTTTTTTAATATTTTATTTTTTTTTTTTTTAAGTTGCATTCTGATCCACACTCCTTACCAGTAGGCGGCGGTAATGCACACCAATAAGTTGCTTGCCAACCGCCATTAAACAAGAAGAAGAAGAAGAAGGCTGGGATGGGCTACAGGACAACAGGCAAGCAGCTTGGTGAGAAGGCAACAACAGTTGGTGCAATTATTAGAAAATGGAAGAAATGCAAAATAAAGGAAAATCTCCCTCGGTCTGGGGCGCCATGCAAGATCTCACCTCGTGGAGCATCATTGATCTTGAGGAAGGTGAGGAATGAGCCCAGAACTACACGGCAATGACCTGAATAGAGCTGGGACCAGTCTCAAAGAAAACAATCAGTAACGCTCGATGCCGTCAAGGATTAAAATCCTGCAGTGCACGCAAGGTGCCTTTCCTCAAGCCAACGCATGTCAAAGCCCGTCTGATGTTTGCAAATGACCATCTGAATGATCCAGAGGAGGAATGGGAGAAGGTCATGTGGTCTGATGAGACAAAAATAGAATTTTGGTTTAAACTCCACTCGTCATGTTTGGAGGAAGAAGAATGATGAGTACAACCCCAAGAACACCATCCCAACCGTGAAGCATGGCGGTGCAAACATTCTTTGGGGATGCTTTTCTGCAAAGGGGACATGACGACTGCACCAGATTGTGGGAAGAATGTATGGGGCCATGTATCGTGAGATTTTGGCCAACAACCTCCTTCCCTCAGTAACAGCACTGAAGATGGGTCGTGGCTGGGTCTTCCAGCATGATAACGACCCAAAACACACAGCCAGGGCAACTAAAGAGTGGCTCCGTAGGAAACATCTT